ATAATATAGTGAACTACCCTAAACCCCTCAACCCCAAGGGTCCCTTTAAGGGTCCCTTGACCTAATAAGCCAGGGAAATAAAAAGCTAAACTGTCAGATTACTACTAAATCTAAGTTTTAAGAACCCAAAAAGTTTAAAGGTTGGGTACCCTAAACCCTAAACCCAAAACCCTAAACCTTAAGTAAGACATAAAGAACTACTCTAAACCCAAACCCCTAAAACCACTAAAACCCCTAAAACCCCTAAATCCCCTAAACCCCTAAACCCACGAGGGACCCTAAACCCAAAACCCTAAAACCCCAAAACCCTAAACCCAAAAGGGACCCTAAACCCTAAACCCTAAAACCCTAAACCCAAAAGGGACCCTAAACCGTAAACCCTGAAATCCTACAACCCTAAACCCAAAAGGGACCCTATAAGATAGAGAACTACCCATCTGCTTTTCCCTCTGGGCTTCCAGGAAGTCCCTGGCACCCGGCTCTTCGGGTCTTTGCTGAAGGCTTAAAAAGTGTCGGGTCTTAGGGGCTCCTTAAAGGGTGTTTGGGTTTAGGGTTTAGGGTTTAGGGTTTAGAGTTTAGGGCTCCTCAAACTTGGTTCTTGCTAAGGGCCGAATTAAGTTACCATTAGAGGGATCTATGGTGAATAATATGGTTTCCTTATTATGGTAACTTACAATTAAGTCCCTTAACAAGAACCCAGTAAAGGGTGTTTGGGTTTAGGGCTTAGAGTTCAGGCCTTTGAGTTTGGGGATTTGGGATTTTCGGGCTGTTGAAGTTGACCCAGTCGGAACTCATGGTTTGGGGTTTAGGGTTTAGGTTTTTAGGGTTTAGGGTTTGGGGTTTAGGAACCCTCGCAATTTGCTGGGTCCTGTGGGAGTCTTTAGGGTGCTGTCGTGGGCTTTGGTGCTGTTGCTTGCGGCTGTTGGGGAAGATTCTGGGGCTTAAGCGTCTAGGGCCATGAATCCTCAAATAGGCTTCATACTGACTTAGGGTTTAGGGCTTGCTATTCGTTGCTGAGTGAGCCAAAGCTCCGTAAGACAACCCTAAACCACAAACAACTCTATCCAACGTCCCACCTCCGCTCTTGGGCAGCTGCGCCACGCCTGTCGAACCCAGGATGCCCACGCTGAGCCTCGAAAGCTTTGGGGACAGGGGGTGAGGGCTTAGGGGTTCAGGGTAGGGTCGGGTAGAGTTTGTCTTTTCGCACGGCTTCCTACAGCTACTTTCATGTTGATGACTCTTGCTACGATCATGGTCGCCACTGATATTTTGATGTTGCGAGTGGAATCATGTATTTGGTGAAATATACTTGGTATTGTTCTTGGCTCTTGTTGCGATTGCGATTTGTCAAGCCATGCGATGTCTGCTTTTACCATGAGTGCCACATCTGTCCCAGCTACAAGGTTGGTTGTCCTTTTGTTGTTCTTCAGGGCTGGTTAGTGTTCAAGAATTTTGCTCCGTAACAGTAACAGCAACAGCTGAATGCGTGAACCCTGTACACCCCCTAGATGCCTGCCCCGCCCCAAAAAACAGGCAAAAAGTTGCTCACCCGACACCTAAAACAAAACCACCGCACCCAACCCAAACCACTAAGCCAGAAGACGGTGCACAACACCGAAGCAATGCAAGTACAGCTCAGTAGGGTTACAAGAAAGTCACATCGACGCAAACGAAAGCGAATCTTGAACCCAAAGCCCAGAACACCACGAAACCTTGATATCCCGAATCTTGCCGCCTGGCAGCCTCAATCATATACCCTAAACCCTAAACCCTAAACCCTAAAACCCTAAACCCTAAACCCTAAAACCCTAAAACTCTAAACCCTAAACCCTGAATCAACCTGAAACCTGAACACCAAAAGTCCCCAAAAGCTGCCCCACAAAACTGCTGAACCCCAAAATCCTGCGCAGACCCCCCACGAAAATTTGCACCCAAACACCCGCAGCCCCCAAATACCGCACAGGTCCCCGACCCAGGCGACCAGCCTGTTTCCTCGCCGACCTCATGCTCAAAGCATCCTAATTAAGAGTAATAGTGTTACAATTATTGTTATTAAGACTAGAAGCCAAAACCCTGACATAGTACTACTATAGTTAGAACTATAGAATCCCAAACCCTGAACCCTAAGAGTCATAGTACTACCATTATTGTTGTTAGAACTATAGAACCCCAAAAACCCTGAACCCTAAACCCCAAACCCTCAACCCTGAACCCGAATCCTTTCATGGTTCCTCAACAGAGGTTTCTCTTTCAAGGGCTCCAGAAGGGTATATCATCAGTGTAGGGGCCTCAACAAAGCATTGCTCTAAGAGTCCAAGGTTCCACCCTAAACCCTAAACCCTAAACCCTAAACCCTAAACCCTAAACCCCTAAACCCTAAACCCTAAATTCTAAACCCTAAACCCTAAACCCCTAAACCCTAAACCCGGTTAGGGTT